CAGAGACAGTCATGGCTTCACTTGACATGAAAGCACAGGTGATGTGTTTGACCAGTACTTCTGTCCAGTCACCCAGAGCAAGGTACAATAGCCAGATGGCTATTTCGGATGAAAAAGAGATTCTTTCAAAAATGAAAGAAATTTTGATCTTAATTTGGATTCCCCCTAATGCAAGCTCTGATTCAAGGATTTGAGTACAAATTCACTTAAGACATAATCTCAGGTGACAATAGCATTAGGGAAGCATGGGAGTGGGTGATCAATTTCCTGCTGTGGTAACCCAAGGGCTAACCCCTCTAGGCATCCTTGAGAGACTACAGAACACACCCTAGGAAAACCTCATCAGGGTGGTGAACCAAGAGTTCTCTTTCAGTAGGCCCTGTCTCTTGTCTAAGAGGACCCCAGGGCATCAGTTTCCTGTAGTTCACGTTACCCTGTAGCAGGTGGATCTGCTACCTCGGTGACCATGCAACTCCTGGGGCGTCAAGGTACTGGTGGTAGAGGTGATAAACAGTAAGCTTTATGGAACTGTCAACCAAATGCAGAAGCTATCTTGCAGGGAGGCTATGGTGTATAAAGTGGGATAGCAAACACAGTGGGGGTTCCTGTTTCAGGAGAAAATGGGGAGAGCTGACTAAAGTGACCTAACCTGTGCTGGAGGAGCTGCCCTGGTCGGGATCCATAGACAGCTCTTCCTTTGCCTTTCTGGTTGATACAGGATGACCATGGAAGGGGACAACCTCACCCAAGTCTCTGAGTTCCTTTTCTTGGGCCTCTCAAAGGACCCCAAGCAGCAGCAGCTGCTGTTTATACTCTTCCTGAGCATGTACCTGCCCACAGGGCTGGGCAACCTGCTCATCATCCTGGCCATCATTACTGACACCCGACTCCACACCCCCATGTACTTCTTCCTGGTCAACCTGGCCTTTGTGGACATTTGCTTCACCTCCACCATCATCCCCAAGATGCTGGACAACCATGTCACAGGACACAAAGGGATTGCTTATGCTGGGTGCCTGACCCAGATTCTTCATCTGTTTTATCTGTATCGACTGCTTCCTGCTGGTTGCCATGGCTCATGACCACTATTCTGCCATCTGTCACCCCCTGCACTATGCCATGTCTGTGACACCACTGGTCTGTATCCTCCTGGTGACAGCATCCTGGACTGCAGCCTTGGAGAATGCCCTGACCCACACAGGTTTCTAATTTCTTCTGTGACCTCAGCACTATGCTGAAGCTGGCCTGCTCTGACACCTTTTTCAATTATGCAATAGTGAACACCATGGGTACACTGCCCCTATTTTTCCCCTTTGTGGGCATCCTGGTCTCCTACATATACATCTTTGCTGCCGTGATGAGGATCCCATCTACAAAAGGCAAGTGGAAAGATTTTTCCACCTGTGGCTCTCATGTCTCTGTGGTGTCCCTGATCTATGAGACACTCACTGGGGTTTATTTCAACCCCACATCCTCCCAGAAGGACACAGCTGCTGCAGTGATGTACACCGTGGTCACCCCCCCTGCTGAACCCCTTCATCTGTAGCATTCTCTCTCTCTCTCTCTCTCACACACACACACACACACACACACACGGGTTCTACGTAAGTGAGTGATTCTGTTTCTTTAAATCATTGAGACCAGCTTCTCCATGTCTAGGTCTTATTAATTTCCAAGGATATGATTGTTGTCTAGAAGGATAAAACTTCAAACTCTATATTGGACAGAAAAAAAGAGCACGGGAGGCAAACTGCATCAGAAAGTCCTATGTATTTCACACATTCCACACTGGGTTAACCTACCTGTGAGGGAGGTGGGAAATGTGATCAGCCAGATGTCTGGACTGTACTTCTGTTATTACAGAATAAAAACGTGGGTTTTTTGTGAGGAGTTAGTAGTCCACCATACATCCCTGCAGCTACCAAAATCACACTCCTTCCCACCCATGGAATCCCCTGACACCTGACTGTGAAGAAGTCCTACTGTTCCAGAAAGATGATCCCATTTAGTTTGTATCCCAAAATCTGACTAAAACACAGGATGAAATTTTTATCCCAAAATTTAATAATTTGTAAGCTAAAAGACCATTTGTTTGAAACTTCCATTACCCAGTGTATATTAATCACAATAATCGAATAATAAACCCTGTGGGGCAGGGTTTATTTAAAAATTAGGGAAAAGCTTTCATTTTTCACCATTGAATAGTATGATGCTAACTCTAAGTTGTCACATATGGCCTTTATTATGCTTTAATGGGCATTTTTATCATCGATGGATTTTATTGTAAATTGGGTATTTTGATCAAAATTGGATCTTATGAAATGTTTTTTCCTGGATCTATTGACATGATCATGAGGATTTTGTCCTTTCGTACTGATGTGGAAAAATTGCTTCAATTGATTTGCACAGGTTGAATCACCCTTGCATCCCTGGAGTAAATCCCATTTGATCATGGTGTATGATTCGTCTATTGTTGAATTCTGCTTGCTAGTATCTTGCTGTGGAATATTTATATCTAAGTTCATTAGAGAGATCTTTCTTTTTTTTAATGTCTTCTGTTTTTCATATCAGGGAATTGTTAGCCTCATAAAATGTAATTCTTTACCTTCCCTTTCACTTCAGTATTTTAGAAGAATTTGCTTTAAAGCAGAGTAAATTCTTCAGTTCTCTAGAGAGACTCCACTGACCATTTTCACTATGGTCTCTGGTTTTGCCATCTATAGCATTTTTCTTTGTCCATTTACCCTTTGTGGCCACCCCTGAACACAGCATGGAAGGATATTCCCTTATTGAATCAACCTCGTATCCAGATCAACCATCATAGCCAGATTTCTCTGTGCAACCAGGGAAGTGATTCAGTTAATCACTTAATCCTTTGTGCTTTATCTCCTCATATGAAAAATAAAATTAATGTGACTGGAACCAACATGCAGAGTCTGGGAGCTGGATTTGTCCTAAAACCTATGTGACCCTGCAGAGACCCTTAGAGAATTCCTACCTCTACCAAGAGTGGAAGCTGATCAGCAAGTATGGACTTTGGAACACAGGTGAAGTCTGGAGGGTCAAATTTACCTAGGCCAATGTCCTCAGAGCTGCTCAGGAGTCCTGACACTGGAAGAGGAAGACCCAGCCTCTGTTGGAAGGCAATTCCTTGATGCACCACTTGTCAGGATTGGGGTGCTAGAGGAGGTCAAGTTGAAGCTGGGCCCAAAGATCAGGACTTCTTGGAGAGACTCCTGCAACCCAGGTCTTCAAATTGGGCATTTCATCCTCTCATGTCCTGAGGTGTCAGTGCCGCAGTGGGTCCATGAGCAGGTGTTGACCACCTGGCCCCTCACTGCCAACTGGATGCCCAGAAGCACTTCTCCCTCTGCTCTCATTATGGGGTCACCACCCTGCCCTGTTAAAAAAAAGAATTCAAAGAAGGGCCTGGGTGGGGTGCCTGCAGTGATGAGGAGGAAGAGTAGGTGCCTTGTCCCTTCCTGGGCCAGTAGAGTACATAGTTCTGCAGTCAGGTAAAAAATACAGCAGTGCTTAAAACAATATATTAAAAACAACAACAACAACAACTAAGATTATAGCACCTAGAACATAAGGGTGTTGAAGGAATTAAATGAGATAATGTGCTTACATGACTGATAAACGAGACTAGTTTAGGCGTTAAAAGGTTAAACATATTTAATGTAAATGTGTGTCTTGAGAAAACACAACTAGCACCCCAAGCTTATACTAGGATGAGTACAAAAAAATTATCGAAAAAATGTAATTATATATATTTATTACATCATTCTTCATTTTTGTATAATGTATGCTTTTTCATCTCTGTTATGGCCCCATGAAATTCTACCACTAATTCACCCTTGTACCTTGTGCTCTTCCCACTCCTGTTTTTTTTTTTTAATATTTATTCATATAGAACTGGGGTACAGACCAGAGATGCGGAGGGTGAGAGGGTTCACCAGAGACAGAGCGGGGAGCAGAACAGGCAGATCTACGAAGTACACTGCTGAGGGGAGCAGCGGGCGGGTCAGGAGAGGTCTGCCTCGCCATGTGGATCTCCTCCAGGGCAGGTGGGAATCGAACTCATGCGGAAGTGGCTTAAGCTTCTTAGTGCTGTGCTTTAACCCGCTGCGCCACCAGGGAGGGCCCCCACTCCTGTTTTAATTCTACTTCCCTCCTCAACCCCCACAGAATGTCTCTGATTTATATTTGCCCATTGATTTTCATATTTACTTTATTATAATTACATTTTCCTTCTGATCCCTTATTTGGATCCTTTACATTCTTCCTAAGAGTGAAACTATCCAGTATTTTTATTTAACTTTCTGGATTATTTCACTAAGCATGATCCCTTCCAGCTCCATCCATTTTGCTGCAAATGGCATGAGTTTATCTATTTTGATTGCTGATTAATATTCCATTGTGTATATATATATCACATCTTTTTTATACAGTTATCTATTTTTGGGCATTTGGGTTGTTTTCTTATCTTACCTATTGTAAAAAGTGCTGCAATAAACACAGGGGTGCAGATGACCTTTTGAGTGAGTGAGTTTTTTTCCTAGATACCTAGGAATGGAATTGCTGGATCATATGGAAGTTCCATTTTTAGCAGTTTGAGAAAACTTCACACAGCTTTCCATTTTGCATTCCTATCAGTAGGAGAGTTCCTTTTTCTCCACACCCTCACCAACATTTATTGTTGTTAGTTTTTATTTTTGATATGTGCCATTCTCACTAGCATAAAGTGGTATCTCATTGTGGTTTTGATTTGCATTTCCCTGATTACAAATCATGTTGAACACTTTTTCATATGCCTATTGGCCATTTCCTTTTCCTCTTTAGAGAAGTGTCTTTTGGCTCTTCTGTCCATTTTTTTGTTTGGATTGTTTACTTCCATAAGCTTTTTATGACTCTTTGTGATCAGTCACTTATCATTAATGTTGTGTGCAAAATTTTTCTCCTGATCATTGGAGTGTCTTTTTATTTGGTTAATGTCACTTTTGCTGTACAAAAGTTCTTTAAGTTTATGTAATCCAGATGTTTATCCTTTCCTCACTACCTTTGCTTTGAGTGATGTGTCTTTAAAGATGTGACTGAGGTGTATGTCATGTAGTGTTTCACCTAATTTTTCTTCTATATAGTTGATGGTTTCAGGAAATACATCTAGTTCTTTAATACATTTTGAGTTAGTGTTTGTGCATGGTGTGAGGTGGCAGTCTAGCCAGTTCTCCAGCACCATTTGTTGAACAGACTTTCTTTGTTCCACTGCATATTCTTTGTTCCTTTGTCAAAGATCAGTTTTTTTGATTAAACTATGGGCTTATTTTCTATTGTCTATGTGTCTGTTCTTGTTCCAGTACCACGTAGTTTTGATTATTATGGTTTTGTAGTATAGTTTGAAGTCTGGGCATGTGAGACCTCCATTCTCTTTCTTTTTAGTCAGGAAAGCCTTGGCTTGGGTTATTTTGTGTGTGTGTGTGACTCTGTGTGAATTACATCAATTTTTGTTCTATTCCTTTGAATATTGTCATTGAAATTTTTATTGCAATAGCAATGAATCTGCAAATTGCTTTTGGTAGAATGACCATTTTAATAATATTAACTCTTCCAATCCATGACCATGGGATGATTTGTTTTCAAACTATATCTTTTGTAGTTAAACATGATTATTACAGACAAAGAAAGGCTGGGTTCTCTCTTTTTTTTTTTTTTTTTTGATCCAGCCTGCTATTCTGTGTTTTTCTATTGATGACTTTAAGTCACTTACATTTAGAGTTAATATTGATACACTAGCATCCATATTTTCCATATTGTTTGTTTTATTGTGGTTCTATTCCTTACCCTGTTCTGTTCTTCCTATTAATTCCTCTTTTGGTTTTAGTCTAGGATTCCTTATTTATTATTTTTTTAAAATTTTTTTTGGTAGTATTTTTTAGAGTGGGGATTTAGTAGTGATGAATTTATGGAGATTTTGTTTGTCTGGAAGGTTTTCATTTTTGCATTATAGAGGAAGGAAAAATTCCTGGGGAAGAGTATTCTTAGTTGGAATTTGTTGATGTGGAGTTTTGTTGAATATATCCCTCCATTCTCTTCTTGCCCATAGTGTTTCTTTGGAAGAGTCTAATGTCAGCCTGATTGGTTTTCTTTTGTAAAACCAGGTTATCTGTTTCTTCCCCATGTCAGTTTCATTAATTTTTCCTTATCTTGGATCTGTGGTAATTTAATGTTATGTGTCTTGCTGTAGCTTTCTTTTCACTGTGGTAATTTGGTGTTCTTCTAGCTTCCTTTTATTTCTATTTTAATTTCCTTCTTCATGCTTGAGAAGTTCTCTTAAATTATTTCCTTGAACAATTTTTCAGCTCCCTGATCTCTCATCTCGGACACCTATGACTCTTATATTTTCTGTTCTCAGCATCAGAAAATTCTTGAAGTGTTTTTCATTCTTTTTATTTTGTAATTCTCTTTCCTTTCCTTTCCTTTTCTTTTTGTTTTTCTTTCTTTCTTTCTTTCTTTCTTTTTTTTTTTTTGCTGTTTTTATGTCTG